AGAATTTGGCAACCTGTTGTATCGGATGAAAAAGATGTCCATTACTGGACTGGTCTGTACCTTGACTTTTTTTAACACTCGTACAGGATCTACTCTTTATGCTTTATGTACCCTTTACGTGGTAGAGAGCGAAAAAAGCTTCAAAATTGTTTTAAATGTGAGGCATTTAAGGTGCCTGTAAAGACTACATCCCGGGCGATGAGGGACCACATAAAATACAGTAAATGTATGTAATTTGGGCTGTGAGGGGGCTGTGAGATGCACTCTACGCCCGGGATGTAGTCTTTTTTCAAAACACACCATTCATTCCCATACTAATTCTTATATTCTTCATTCTTGCAGATGGTTGTATCATGAAGCAATCGTACACAAAACCGAGGGTGACGATGATGGTTTTCTTGCTAACCACAAGAATCATCATGGACGCAGCGAAAAACAACAAGTTTGAGAAGAAGTTTGGAGAACTTCCTAAGGGGAGAGACCAGCCTGCCATCTGGGTATCTAATCTGCCGTGCCTGGAAGCTAGATTATATTTATTTATTTTGTTTTATATAACTTTAGATAATGAAAAAGACCCTTTGAAAAGTGATGTACACCTTCGTAAATATTTTTTTATGTTCAACGCGGTTGAAAGGGATGACTAAAACTGATGTTAGACATTTCGACACTCTTGAGTCGCCATGTGAGGGGACAACATGTTAAGACTATATGTCACATCATGTCACATCCAGTGAAATGATCTTTGAAGCTCCTACTCAACTCTCAACATTTTCGTCCATTATATTTTCTTAAATAGTATTTTAGCATTATGTCAGTTCAGTTATTTGTTAGAATCGAATTTTGGTTTGCCTGTGGTTTATTGTCATGACAACGCAAGGCAAGACAAAAGGAAGGTGTCTGTATTGCATTGTGTGACATCACAGGTAGCCCAAGCTTGGTTTCTGTGGTATCTATTATGAGGAAATGTATGGAGATTCATAAAAAATTTCAATAAAATCATTGAAACGTGAAATATAGCCTCGAAATTTTACCCGATCATTGAGAAATAGCACTTCTTTGGCTCTGCGTGGTTATTTTTTGAATTTAGCCCGTTTTAAGATTTTCTTTCCCACCAGTAAGACTTACTGGTGGGGGGAAAATCTTAAAACGGGCTAAACTCAAAAAATAACCACACAGAGCCAAAGAAGTGCTATTTCTCAATGATCGGGTAAAATTTCGGGGCTTTATTTCACGTTTCAATGATTTTAATGAAATTTTTTATGAATCTCCATACATTTCCTTATAATAGGATACCACAGAAACCAAGCTTGGGCTACCTGTGGTGACATTCGAGTTTCCTCCCAGTCAAAGCAAAGGTCATTTTGCGACGAACGCTTCGTCGACTGAGGTTGTCCTTTATATCGTCGTCAACTGAGATGTCGGAAACGGTAGGTTTGTGAACACTTCTTACATAAATTCTGGAAATGATTCTTCGTGTTGTACATCCATTAGATACATATACAATGACCCAACAAGCGCTATTGAATATCGTCCATATTAGCCGTGTAATTTTAAAAGGCTTAACCGGCGAAAATCAGAACCTCTGAGCCCAGGTTATAGATATTTCTGATACGATAAAAGAAATCGAAACATAAATCTATGGAATATTTAGAAATTTACGATAAATATGAACCAATTTCATTAACAAAATTCTCTTTAATGCGCATATATTATATTTTATTTCGATCGTTTCCGAGAAAAATATTTTGGTTTCGTCAGAGGTGTGTGCCGTGACAATGTCAACATGTCACTTCAATCAGCTATACGTCTTCCTACGTGTTGCTGGCGCAAATGATTTACACTCTATTTATTACACTCTACGAAACCACATGATCTGGATCTTATTCGATTAAATTCTTAGGAACCCGCTTTATTTTGAAACTATAGTCATTTTTCTACACTTCATAAAGGAAATTTTAATTACAGCTTATTGTTCCCGCTTATTTTCGAATGCAAGCTGTTCTTCCTTCCCGCCATCTTTCCTTCCCGCCATCTTTCCTTCCTTCCTTCCTTCCACTCTTTCTCCGTACTTTAAATCGTTTGTTCCTTCCTTCCTTCCTTCCTTCCTTCCTTCCTTCCTTCCTTCCTTCCACTCTTTCTCCGTACTTTAAATCGTTTGTTCCTTCCTTCCATCGTTCATTCCTTTCCTCCATCCTTTCATCTTTCCTTCCTTCCTTCCTTTCTTTCTTCCACTCTTTCTCCATTCTTTTAATCGTTTGTTCCTTCCTTCCATCGTTCATTCCTTTCCTCCGTCCTTCCATCTTTCCTTCCTTCCTTTCTTTTACCTTTCTCCCTCCTAATAGTATGTGCCAAAGTGGTAGTTTCTCATACAGTTCTTACTCATAAAAAATTATAGATGGAACCAGATATTAAAAAGAAGAAGAAAATGGTAACAGAAAACACCGTGACTTCAGAGAATCTGACGCCGGATGCAAGCCGTAATATTTCTCGTAAGGAAATGACTGAAAAGTTAATTCAAATTGTTGGCACATCTGAGGACATCAAACGCAGACAGGAGATGTTTCGCATCATGAATATAGTCAATGGATATGGTGATATTGATTCGGTATCTATCTCGAGTGGGAGTCTCTCAGAGGGTCTTAACATGAAGGGTAGTGATGAAGACATCACACTTATTCTAAAACACGTTGTGGCTGTGCCTTCCTATGCATCGTATGTTGGAAACGAGGAAGAAACAGTAGTTTTGGTCGACTTTGAACAGGATTACCCAGGATTTGCTAGGATTCATCCACTTCTTGACGCTACAGTCAGTGGCTATGTCCAGAGCGCAAGTGTCTTGTCATCTTTATGCTTTCGAAATCAGTTTCTAGGGAGTGGTCAAGAGACACATGATCCATGCTGTAATAATGGTCAATTGGACATCGCTATCTGTATCCGCTGCCCGTTCTTACCAGATATTGTTACTGAAAGATTTGAAAATCGTGAATCAAAATGGCTGGAGGAAGAGTTCCAAAGGAATATGTTTGAAGAGGGATGTCTTCTCGTTCCTATTGGACCCAGGCTTTCTGAAAAACGGAGTATCTTGTGGAGAATATCGTTTATCTTGGCTGAAAGAAAAATGATCTTAAAGATGAATCATGCTCAAATCCTCTGCTATGCATTACTGAAAATGTTCCTAAAGGAAGGGCTAGAGCAAGACAACTCTGTAAAAGATCTACTTTGCTCCTACTTTTTAAAAACGTGCCTTTTTTGGCTGATTGATGAGACAGATGATGACGATCAAGTGTGGAATGTAGACAATGTTCTTGACTGTTACGAGCTGTGCCTGGACAGGATTATCTTATGGGTTACCAATGGCAACTGTCCTAATTATTTCATTCCTGGAAATAATATGTTCAGTGGAAGAATAGGAAAAGAAAATAATGATGTTCTCCTGTCGTTGTTAAGAAAATACAAAGCTGAAAGCTGTTTGGCGCTACTTCGTTGCGAATCATTTCGCTCTCAGACAGAGGTGTTCACCGACGCTCAAAGGGAAGCCAACTTAGATTTGTTCTGTTTTAGGGTCTTACATCTTTACCCTTATGATCAAATTGAGTTGGCATACGCAGCAGCTAGAGATTTAGAGAAAATGTACAAGACTGAAACTGACGGGTTTGTCCTTGGTGTCATCAATAAACTTCGGTCCTCTGCCCACCAAGAAATCGCCCAAATGCTACCGCTTGAGTATATCACAGAGGGCTCAAAAGATGGAAGTGGTYACGCTCAGCAGGCATTCGAAAAGCACCGTGACCATATCTTAATAGGAGGAGAATCAGATGCGTTAARCGGGCCTCTCTTGCTTGCCTGCTTTCATTACAATCTAGGTCACTATACCCAGGCGTTGGACTCTCTAGGTGAAGCTGAGAACAAATTGACCCCAAATTTGATAGTTCTACGAAAGGAGATCTATTCCCAAGAGGAGTACCAGTCGTATCATGATTCCATGTGTGGTAAGGGTTTAACCTTGTCGTACAAAATGAAACATGCAACAGTCAATGTACTAATTATGCTAGAAAACTCTTCGCTAATCCCAGAAGAATTCCTTCCTGAAGTTCTGTCACATAGACCGTTATGTATGATTCCAGCAACCGTTCTGTTGTACAGTGTGGAATACCTTTGTCATAATAGACTACACGACGCTCACAAAAAAATCAACGCCCTTGCCAAACTGGAAGACGCTGTCAAAAACAAGCTGTTTATTTTATCACGCTATTATTCAACTGCTTTGACATTCCTTGGGGTTTGTTATGAGACAGATGGAGACGTGGATAAAGCATTAAAGTATTACAGRCTTGCTTTAGAACATCCTCCTGTGTTCAGAGGTGCACAGTACAGGATAGATAGACTTCAGTTTACTGAATAAATTACAATTTTGAGACTGAAAAGGACACTAAACTCTACGTTACCCGGATGAAGTATGCAAGGAAAATGGAATAAAAGAAAACTTAATTTACGCTGTTAGACTTATATCGCGATTTTCCAATATTTAACAATTATTATGCATTGTGCTCACTATCTGAATTCTCATTGGTCGAGAACCTATGGATAATTCTAGCTATCAGCATGCGCCAGCGAATTTCGCACAAAGAAAAAAAAATAACGACAAAAAGAAAAAGAAAACATAACGAAAAAAGATAAAAAATTAACAAAACAAAATAACAATTACGCCCATTGTTGAAGTCAATAAACTGCAGTTACCTGTTTATAATGAGTTTTTCTTAGAGGAAGATTGGTGCGTCTTTTTCTGCCATTGTATTAATAGTAAATTAATACTCTATTTATTCAGGGACTGTCTTTATTATAGAGAGTTCTTCGATCGTTAATATGTGTTATGACATAMCACAAAAAGATGATATTCCTAATTAATAAACACTCACACTTGCTAAAGTTGTCATGATATTTAGCGGTATTCCGAGAATTATTGTGAATTAAAATTTTCCTAAACCTTATTTTTTTAAGAGGGTGTTTTTTATTCTATGCCAAGGAAAGATGAATAAATCAAACTGAAATCCATCAAGCAKAGGAGAGTCGCTTGAAGTTTCTCTACAAAACTAGAATATTTTTAATGTATAAGCAGTCGTTTTCGTTAAGAAATCGAGTAAATAGCTGGTGTAAAGATGATATTGGATTGCCGTACGGGTAAACACCAATGTCGACTGTCGTTACTCTTTGTTGCTTTTGTTATTTTTTCCTTTCCTTTCCTTTCTTTTTTTCATCTTTCCCCCCTCTTTTTTGCCTCCCTCCCCCCCCCCCCCCCCCCACACACACCCACCTCTCTCAATTTAAAGAATCGCACCTTCGTCATGCAGCATTCCATATCGTGCAATCCATGTTGCAAAGCTGCACGCTTGTATGCATGCGCAAACCTTCCACTCAGAGCGCACAGTTCGCTTAAAGCTAGAGAAGGAAGAGGCTCGTGGTTCGAAGCTAAAAAAGCGAAAAATTCTCATTCTAGTGATGAATTACGAGCTCAATATGGAAGCACTCTTGAAACTAGAAGGTATTTATGCTTGTTTTATTGTTCAGCCATGAATAATATGCCTAATAGTTTACATTTTCCGAGTTTGAAGCCTCGCTGTATAAAGTCACACGTTGCCTTTAAATATGGCCGCCTACCAKTTTAGCTTCCCAGAAAAGTATCTGCTCCTTCTGTTTATTTTTCAATGCTGCGTACAGGAATGACAAAGATATCACTTTTGTGCTAGCTATTATTCTACCTGTATTTCACCACGAGTCAGTGCACATTGAATACAAACCTGTATTTTTATTATTCTATGTCAACTATTCTGTAATGTTACTAAGTTTATGTCATAATGAAAGGAATTTTGAAGAGAATAGGTGAATCTTGCATAAATTTTGTATTTTTTACATGGTAGAATTATAAAGTAAAAACAGTATTTTTTCCTATTTACATGAACAAAGCTTCGTGGAATAAACGGAGATGGTAGCAACTCCACTGACCAGACAAATGATCAAACATTATGATCCTAGCTGGATGAATAACGAGCTCACTTAGAAGAACATTTGAAACTAGAAGGTATGATTTTATGCTTATTATTATATTTTTGAATGATGAATAAYATAAATTTATGCATTTAGTCAGAACCCTGCATCTTAATACACYAGTAAGTATGCCATGTGATGCATAGGTTTACCTCAATTTTAAGCATTCTGTTTGTTCTTATCACTGGCAACCCGGGTTCATGTCCTGCTGGGCTCGATAATGACATATGACAGTAGAGTTGCTTGTTGATTCTCTCCTGTTCTTCGAGGGTTTTCCTAGGGTTTTTTTCTGGTTTTCCTCCCGCCTTGAAAATCAACTTCTAAAATTCCAATTGGATTCCTGTGAATGAAGAGCCACTCTGTGGAAATGCCACTGTTAAATATCCCATTATTAGATAGGTGAACTGAATTATTAGATCTGATAATAGTACGATAAATGAACCTTTAAGGGAAATAAAAATGGTTTAGTTATCAGGAGAGGGGAACAAATGATGGGAAATTTTAAGAAAATATATGTAAAATTCAGAGGAAAAAAGAGAGAAATTTGTGGCCGACACAGGTATTCTCATTAAGACTGAATTGAAATTAGGCTTTTTGTGTATTGCAAAACCCAGAAAGTAGAGAACTCAAAGGCCTGTTTACATGAGAAAATTTTGCAGCAGTTTCAGGTGCAATTTTTAATGTCTGGAATAAAACTTTACGAGTTAAATTGCTGCAAAAGTCATCCTTACAAAAAAGCATTAATGTGTGGAAACAATACACACTGCTTCAAAATAATTTCAATATTCAGGAGYATGTTTTTACTCATTATATCTTTACAAATGGGGTTTGAGTTAAAAAAATAACTTGAAAGGAAACAAAAATAGCTCAGAGTTAACGTGAACTTTGAATTACCTTACCTAGGGTTATAGTTGTGAGCATTCCACTGTATAATGATTCAACATAAATGTTGTTAAATTATCTGTCTTTTTTTTTCATTCATTCATTTTGTTCTGTCATTTATTTGATCATTCTGTTAATTTTTTATTCATTTGTTCATTTTTTWATTCTTTTGTTCATTCTTCCATTTCATCTCTTCATCCATTCATTACTTTGTTCATTCATCCAGTCATTTCTTTGTTTGATTACTCATGCATTATGTTCTTCATTTCTGTATTTCATTCATTCATCTATTCATTCTGTCTTTCATTCATCTATTCATTCTTTTATTCGTTCTTTCATTTGTTCATTCATTCATTCATTCATTCGTTTTCATCTATTCATTCTATTTTCATCTATTCATTTTCTACAAAACAACTAAAACCTGTTTAATCTAACTAAAACTTTTTCTTACCAGAAAAACAAAGAAACAATGATCGGATGAATTAAGCGCTTAATTTGAAGAAGAGTTAAAACTAGAAGGTATTTATGCTTACTAGTGCATTACATTTAAGAAATTTAAAACATTCAATATTCACACTTATTACATATAGTGGCTTGATGAACCCAACATAAAATGAATGCTCGCCAACAGGATTGGCTTCATAGCTCAGTTGGTAGAGCATCGCACCGGCATCRCGGAGGTCATGGGTTCAATTCCCGTTGAAGCTTGAAATCATTTTTTCAAGTCTTTCTTTACCACGTTCGCTTAGATCGCTCATTCACTGTGATGATCAACACATCTATCAAATTTAAAACAGTTGTCCATTTTAGAAACTCTGATCTAAACTCTGATCTATGAACAAGAAGTGTAGGAAACAATGATGTAAAGGAGATATCTACATTGGAAAACTTTTAAATTATGTCTTAAATTATAAAATACCAAGTACACTAAAAATATTATGCAGAACAAGAAATRCTGTGAGCATTTTAGGAACTCCCATCTAAAATGGCATTCAACCAATCAGAGTGCACAATAGAGATCAGTCGTTTTATATTTAAGGAATGGTCGCCTACCTTTATATTGTGTCTTAGAAAAACTCCATATCAAGTAATGGATATTATTTATAAAATAGTAGAAAAATGGAATTATGATTGGACAGACTGTTCCGTGCACTGATTGGTCAAAGCAAATGTCACATGCTATCAACAGCCAATCTTATAAGAGCCCTTAAGAATAAGCAATTCCTAAGCCTGGATTTCACTAGCCATGCAAGAATAAGCAGGTTGCTTTAAYTTGAACATTAGTCAATGGAGCCTTGACAATGACTCCTTGCGCCACTGCGTAAAATAAAGATATTTTTATAAACATGCACTTTATACAGACCAGCCATGCTGCAGGATACTAAGGTATTTCTGGGTCTCCTAAGCATTTAGATTGAGCATGTGTAGTGTTGGTGGATTTA